AAAAGAGACCCTGTCACCTCGTCCATTCAGGGAAAAGAGACCCTGTCACCTTGTCCATTCAGGGAAAAGAGACCCTGTCACCTTGTCCATTCAGGGAAAAGAGACCCTGTCACCTTGTCCATTCAGGGAAAAGAGAACCTGTCACCTTGTCCATTCAGGGAAAAGAGAGATCCTGTCCATCTTGAGCAAAGAGACCCCGTCACCTTGTCCATCCAGTGCAAAAGAGACCCTGTCACCTTGTCCATTAAGTGGGGAAAAAAGAGACCCTGTCACCTTATCCATTCAGGGGAAAAAAGATCCTGCCACCTTGTCCATTCAGGGAAAAGAGAACCCGTCACCTTGTCCATTCAGGGAAAAGAGAACCTGTCACCTTGTCCATTCAGGGAAAAGAGAGACCCTGTCCATCTTGAGCAAAGAGACCCTGTCACCCTATCCATCTAGGGCATTGTCTCTTAAAGTTCACCCTCTCATCCAGTTAAACTAAACTTCACAGCATTCTTCATTCCTTTTTTCCTCTGCCGCAGGCTCTGCAAAATGCTCTTTCTCTGAGCTTACACTCTAATGTCCCCCCCACAGTCACATCAGTCTCTGTACAGAGGAGCTTACACTCTAATGTCCACCCCCTCTTCCCCCCCACAGTCACACACTATTATATTTTTAGTGCTCTGACATATTTTGCAGATCATTTATATATTTGCAGTCGGCACATTTTGCACTTTCTATATTTTGACATTCTTCAGCATTTATTCTTTAAAATAAGTTCCGTGCAACTTTATTAGGACACAGAAGGTGTACAGTTTGCACATTTGTAATATATGCGCTCATACATTGAAACCAGAATTGCTGGAATACTAAAAGATTATTAATACTGAATGTATGGCCATGTTGGTAATGATACTTGGCTGATGTCAGGTGGTTCTGTCATCCATCACGCTGCAATCACATCTTTTCACAGAAGATCCACATAGGAAACCCTCACCGGTGAACTATCAGCAATGCGTGGGCGCTGTGCTGGAGGCGCCACCTGCTGGTCATACTACATAGTGCAGTACATAGTACTAGAAAGGAGATTTCTAAACTTGCACAGGCTGACCCAGTACAAGGTGTTTTCTGTTCTGCCATTTTTGGGGTAATCTGGACATCTGGGAACCTCTTTTTTTTTATCTGTATTTATTGAGGGAAAGGAATTCTTAAGCATGTCGACTTCAATCTTTCAGCATGTGCTTTGTACACTGTATGACCAAAAGTCCATGGACACCCGACCATCACACCTATAGGAGCTTGCTTGACATCCCAATCCAAAACCTTGTCCATGAATATGGAATTGCACCCCCCACTCCCACTCTTTGAGACCATAACATCCTCCACTCCTCTGGGAAGACTTACTCAAGATTTCAGAGTGTGTCTGTGGGAATTTTTCTCATTTGTGAGGTCAGGTACTGATGATGAATGAGAAGACCTGGCTCAGAATTGGCATTCCAATTCACCCCAAAAATGTTCAGTAGGGTTGAGGATAGGACTCTGTGCAGGACACTTGAATTCCTCCAACAAACTGGTCACACCATGTCTTTATGGATTCAATCAATGATCAACGACTATCAACATCTCTGATTGGGCTCCTCACCATTCCCATCTCTCATCACCTTCCATGGATGGCGTCGTAACCATCCCGTCACTCCTCACCTTCCCTGATTGGGCTCCTCACCATTCCCATCTCTCTTCACCTTCCCTGATTGGGCTCCTCACCATTCCCATCTCTCCTCACCTTCCATGATTGGGTTCCTCACCATTCCCATCTCTCCTCACCTTCCATGACTGGGCTCCTCACCATTCCCATCTCTCCTCACCTTCCATGACTGGGCTCCTCACCATTCCCATCTCTACTCACCTTCCCTGATTGGGCTCCTCACCATTCCCATCTCTCCTCACCTTCCCTGATTGGGCTCCTCACCATTCCCATCTCTCCTCACCTTCCATGATTGGGCTCCTCACCATCTCCTTCTCTCCTCACCTAATCCGGAGTTGCCCCCCTTTGCAGCTACAACACCCTCCACTATTTTGGGAAGTCTTTCTACATAATTTTGGAGTGTGTCTGTGGGCATCTGTGCCCATTTGTGAGGTCAGGTACTGATGGATAAGGCAGAAAAAGAACACCGAGAAACGTATTCCGTTAATGATCCAATTAATAAATTGGGCACCAAACCCGCGGTCAGTGACACAAAACAAGCGTCTTGCCAAAAAGCTCACCCGTTACAGGAGCCACAATCACAGCCCAGCGGATCCTTTTTACAATGTATCAAAAATTCCTTTATTAAAATTTACCAAATCAAAAAACAATCTACTAATAATAAATCTTGACCCCGGCACCGCACTCAAGATACCTCAACTTAAAAACGTATTGACAACGTTGTCAGCCACACACACTCTAAACACCACACTCACTCGACCTCACCTATTAATCATAAGATGGCATAAATGTAAGGCGCATACACTTCAAATGAAGGGGCCGCCTCTACAATAAGCAGCGCATTGAACACTGTACCATATTGAATTCCCACTCTGATCGGTGACCTGCGTACAAACCGCGGTTCGTGGTTCAATGATTCATCCATCTCTTCCCAATTTAACTTAATGTATTCTATAGAATTTACAATAATTTATCTATTCTATAGAATACATTAAGTCATTGGAAGAGATGGATGAATCATTGAACCATGAACCGCGGTTTGTACGCAGGTCACCGATAATGGTGGGATTTCAATATGGTGCGCTGTTCAATGCGCTGCTTATTGTAGAGGCGGCCCCTTCATTTGAAGTGTATGCGCTTTACATTTCTGCCATCTTATGATTAATAGGCGAGGCGGAGTGAGCGTGGGTGGTGTGTCAGTGGAGTGTGTGTGTGGCTGACAACGTTGTCAATACGTTTCATTTATAAATTGAGTTATCTGAGTGCGGTGCGGGGTTCAAGATTTATTATTAGCAGATTGTTTTTTGATTGGTAAATTAATAAAGGAATTTTTGATACATTGTAAAAAGGATCCGCTGGGCTGGGATTGTGGATCCTGTAACGGTTTTTGTAAAGAACCAAACGGTGTGCTTTTTGACTGACGGATAAGACCGGGCTCACAATGGGCGTTCCAATTCATCCCAAAGGTGTTCAGTAGGGGTGAGGTCGGGGCTCTGTGCAGGACACTTGAGTTCCTCCACCAAACTGGTCGCGCCGTGTCTTTATGGAGCTGGCTTTGTACCCAGGGGGACAGTCATGGGGGGACAGAAAAGGGTCTTCACCATACTGGTCACACCATGTCTTTATGGAATCAATTCCCATCAACTTCCGTGACTGGGCTCCTCACCATCCATGACCGGTCTCCTAACCATTCCATCTCGCCCCCGCCTTCCTCCGATTGGGCTCCCCACCATTTCCCTCTCTCCTCAACCAAAACAGAGTTGCCGCCCTTTGCAGCTAGAACTTCCTCCACCCTTCTGGGAAGAATTTCCACAAGATTATGGGTGTCTTTGGGAATTTGTCCCATTTGTGAGGTCAGGTTCTGATGATGGAGAAGGAGACCTAGCTTACAATCAATGTTCCAATTAATCCCAAAGGTGTTCGGTAGGGCTGAGGTCGGGGCTCTGTGTAGGACACTTGAGTTCCTTCACCAAACTGGTTGCGCCATGTCTTTATGGAATCAATCACCAATTCCCATCAACTTCCGTGACTGGGCTCCTCACCATCCATGACCGTGCTTCCTAACCATTCCCCCATCTCGCCTTACCTTCCTCCGATTGGGCTCCCCACCATTTCCATCTCTCCTCACCCAATACAGAGTTGCTCCCTTTGCGGCTAGAACTTCCTCCACCCTTCTGGGAAGACTTTCCACAAGATTATGGGTGTCTTTGGGAATTTGTCCCATTTGTGAGGTCAGGTTCTGATGTTGGATGAGAAGACCCAGCTCACCATCAACGTTCCAATTCATCCCAAAGGTGTTCAGTAGGATTGAGGTCAGAGCTCTGTGCAGGACACTCGAGTTCCTCCACCACACTGCTCACACCGTGTCTTTATGGAGCTGGCCTTGTACACAGGGGACAGTCATGGTGGGACAGAAAAGGGCCTTCACCAAACTTTGACCACAAGGCTGGAAGGGCCCAATTGTCTACAATGTCTTTGTATGATGGAGGATGACTGTAGCTTTTCTGGAGAAAAGACACCCACGGTTGCTCTCGTTACTTGGAGAACGCGACGCCCACTCTTCTTGGGTGCGCCGCTCTCCGCGGCTGACAGTGGGCGGAAGGAAATCCCAGATTCCCTGGCAGGATCGCTCCCACATAACATTAGCGTGTCATCCGAAGGCCGCAATTAAACTCTTCGCTGCCACAGCACAAAGCAAAATGCCATCTGTGAGGCAGCGGGCCGAGGGGCGAACCCTGAGACTGCATCTGCAGGCATGGGACAGAGCGGGAAGTGGCAGTTCTCGATGAACTACAAGTCCCAGCATGCCCTGGCACACAATGGGTATGCATTTGCGGACCAACTCTGGACGCCATAAAAGAACAGAAGTTTACCCGTGTATGTATTTTGTATTTGGAGGCTTTGTTTGACAGAAGAGCTAGCAATCCACAGAGGAGAGTTAAGTTTCTCCTCCATACCTGCAACTGCTCTCCACTACCGTTCCCGAAAATCACTGCCACACACTTCTATATACCCATTACCCCATCAATCTCTCCCCCCTCCCCAAATCACTGCCACATACACATCTATATACTCATTACCCCATCAATCCCCTTTTTCTGGAGAAAAGACACCCACGGTTGCTCTCGTTACTTGGAGAACGCGACGCCCACTCTTCTTGGGTGCGCCGCTCTCCGCGGCTGACAGTGGGCGGAAGGAAATCCCAGATTCCCTGGCAGGATCGCTCCCACATAACATTAGCGTGTCATCCGAAGGCCGCAATTAAACTCTTCGCTGCCACAGCACAAAGCAAAATGCCATCTGTGAGGCAGCGGGCCGAGGGGCGAACCCTGAGACTGCATCTGCAGGCATGGGACAGAGCGGGAAGTGGCAGTTCTCGATGAACTACAAGTCCCAGCATGCCCTGGCACACAATGGGTATGCATTTGCGGACCAACTCTGGACGCCATAAAAGAACAGAAGTTTACCCGTGTATGTATTTTGTATTTGGAGGCTTTGTTTGACAGAAGAGCTAGCAATCCACAGAGGAGAGTTAAGTTTCTCCTCCATACCTGCAACTGCTCTCCACTACCGTTCCCGAAAATCACTGCCACACACTTCTATATACCCATTACCCCATCAACCCCCACCCCCCTTATAGGCTCTTCGGAAAGGCCACCTCATATACAGCTGATCCAGCACTGCTTCCTCCTCCACTATCTGACAGGACACACACGGTCACCTTATATACAGATTACTGATCCAGCACTGCTTCCTCCTCCGCTATCAGACAGGACACACACTGTCACATTATATACAGACTAATGATCCAGCACTGCTTCCTCCTCCGCTATCAGACAGGACACATACTGTCACCTTATATTCAGCTTACTGATCCAGCACTGCTTCCTCCTCCGCTATCAGACAGGACACACACTGCCACCTTATATCCAGCTTACTGATCCGGCACTGCTTCCTCCTCCACTATCAGACAAGACACATACTGTCACCTTAATACAGCTTACTGATCCAGCACTGCTTCCTCCTCCGCTATCAAATAAGACACACACGGTCACCTTATATAGATATTACTGATCTGGCACTGCTTCCTCGTCCGCTATCTGACAAGACACACACACAGTCACCTTATATACAGACTAAAGATCCAGCACTGCTTCCTCCTCCACTATCAGACAGGACACACACTGTCACATTATATACAGACTAATGATCCAGCACTGCTTCCTCCTCCACTATCAGACAGGACACACACTGTCACATTATATACAGAGTAATGATCCAGCGCTGCTTCCTCCTCCGCTATCAGACAGGACACACAGATTACTGATCCAATGCAGCTTCCTCCTCCTATATCTGAGCGGACACACACACTTTATATACAGCTTACTGATCCAGGACTGCTTCCTCCTCCACTATCAGACAGGACACACACACTGCCACCTTATATCCAGCTTACTGATCCAGCACGGCTTCCTCCTCTGCTATCAAACAAGACACACTGTCACACAGATTACTGATCCAATGCAGCTTCCTCCTACATCTGAGCAGACACACACACTTTATATCCAGCTTACTGATCCGGCACTGCTTCCTCCTCCACTCTCTGATGAGGCACGCACACTGTCCTTTTATATTCAGCTCGCTTTTTCCATTTCCTCCGTTTCTCCCCCTTATCCCTCAAAAAACCACAACCCCATATCAGAGGTCCCCAATGTCTGCAGTATCCGGTTTCTGCTGTATGATGCATCTCCACTATTAAACACATTTGGTGCTTCATCAATTAATAATTATGAGCAGGCGCTGCGGACGGGTCTGCTTTTTTTTTTTTGCAATACTTGTGATGATTTTAGGTACAGAAGATCTAAATCTATGGACACATGTCATAATCTCCTCTCTTACCAGGATCTCCATCTTTATTTGTTGTCATTACGATAAATAAACGATTCAACGCGGCACTAACGGCCTGAAGTTCATATAAAGCCGATATTACTGCCAATTAACATTTATTAACCCTTCCCATCCCCCTCCAGCCTGCAGCGTGAAGAGTCCAACAGCGCCAGGGTGCGACAATTGGATGCCAAGCTCACATCATTCCAGGGGAAGGGAGGAAAGTGATGCCAACCTATCCGGTTACCTCATCCTGCAGCTCCGGGAATCGATGGATCTATCAACCAGCTAAAAGGCCGCATGAAGCACTTACTGCAAGATGTGACTGGGCTGTAATAATAC